GAGCCTCTCCTCTGCACTATGAAGGGGATTAGATGAAATGTGCAGCTTTGCTCAGCTTTGGGTGAGTGTGAACGTGTGTTTGGGCATGACAGCTACCCACATGTGTGCCTCCAAAGAGCAGTCTGACATCTGAGTGTGTTTACATGCAGCCGGTGATGCAGCTTGAAATTTTTGGTAAATGAAGTGGAACTGTTTTGGTTTTCACCTCAGCAGCTGAAATGCAGAAGTCTGGTTTTCCAACGCAGCTTAGTCATTATTTTGTTCTAGTATGCAGATGTAACCCAGGCCACGGGTTACATGAAACTCTGGCCTGTGTGGTGTGTTTTTGTCACTTTGGTTTACACCACTGGCTGCTGACACACACACACACACACACACACACACACACACACACACACACACACACACACACACACACACACACACACACACACACACACACACACACACACACACACACACAGCTGACCACAGGTTGACCTACATGTTCTGTCACACAGTTGTTTATGTTTATGTTTATTTATTTGGCAGATGCTTTTATCCAAAGCGACTTACAATTTATAACCCATAGGGCATGTTGTTGTGGTTTGATCTCCATGCATTTTGGTTTCCTTTAGTGTTGTTTTGTTAGGATTGTAATTGAGTTTGTTTGCTTTCTAAGTCTCAGCCAGGCAGAAACGTTAGTTGGACAAATGTACAGGACAGACAGCACAGAAGGACGTTCATGCAAGTGTTTCTGGGAGTTTCCTTTCTGTCAGGGGACGATGACCCACTTTTCCTCTGTGAATTCTTTTTTTAAACGTTCAACCCTCTGCTTGGAGCCAGGGCTGTCTGCTTGTCTGCTCATTATGAGAAAAGAGGGGGAGGAGGGACTGTACTGTTAGATCAGGCAGGCAGGCTCTCTGTTTGAGTTCCTCTGTGATGTTTAAAAGCATTTCCTAATGGCAAATGTGCGTCTCATAAAGGATAACAGTTGTGAATGAGTAAAGGGCATCCAGACTATAAAATCAAGCTGCAAGCTGTTTAATCAGTGTTTATTCTAACCTCTAAACTGACAGGTTAATTAGCAGCCAGAACCACAATCTATATTTGACCCATGCAGAGAATGTAATAGCAAAATATGACTCCCAGCTAGTTGTCTCAGAGCTGCAGCACTTCCTGTTAGCCTGTGCAGGGTAAAAACCACTGAAACCATCTGCATCCTCAACCTCTCAGCCTACATGCACGCACGCACACACTCATACGTACATACACATGCATGCAAACACACTCTTCTGACCTCTCATGACTGCACCCGTAGTTCTTCCCATGTGACTGACTCACTGGTGATGTTTGACTTTGAATTGTGTGTGTGTGTGTGTGTGTGTGTGTGTGTGTGTGTGTGTGTGTGTGTGTGTGTGTGTGTGTGTGTGTGTGTGTGTGTGTGTGTGTGTGTGTGTGTGTGTGTGTGTGTGTGTGTGCCTGCGTAGTGCAGGTGCACGACCTACGTTTGTTTCTGCTTTTCCTGTGAATCATTGCCATGCCTCCCCTCCCTTCCTCCAGAAACAAGTGGCCACTCCATCACTGAGTGGTTGCTTGACAGTTGAGGGAGGGATTTGTAGTAGCACAAACTGATGACAACAGTCGATGACAGCAAGGGAGGAGCTTTCTGAGCCTCAGGACTGCAGGGCGTGTTTTTGGAAACACTTATCTTCCGATCACTTTTAAATCTCTTCAGCGTGTCATGGCCACTCTATATAAGAAATTCACTTCCAGGTTGTGAATGTCTGCATCCTGAGTTTTCTGGGATTTTAAGAAGAAATTCTTCTTTCTTTCTTATTTCTGTGTTTTTTTTTCTTTTAAAGATTTCTATGAACAGACTGAGATGAAGGAGTTATTGTGAGACAAGTAGCTGAGCATGTGATATTTACTAGTTCCCCTCCAGTGGTGGGGAGCTCCCCGTGGCTGATAAGATCAGTTCATTGACAACATTCTGTTCTCTTTAGAACCAGCATGACGTGTTTTACTGATAAAGAAAAAGACATTTTGTTTGGTAATCCAGGATTTTTCTCCTATTCCTGTTCTTGTGTCATACACATGTTTACATGGTTCTTTGGTGTTTGCTTGTTCCTGTGTGGGATCTTTGTGATTGTTGTAGCAGTTTTTTATATTACTGATTTAGAGACTATCACGAAAGTTTTGAATCAGAGCTTCTGATATGACTATAGGTCAGAGGTCACTAACTGCTGTCGTGGTAACAGCTGTAACCAAAATAAACAATCAATGATGAACAAGAGTCTGCTTCTAGACCTGCAGAAAAGGGACACACAACAGTACAATAGGAGCAAGCTATCACTGCGTCAACTTGATGAAGAAATATAAAATCAACATTGTTTTACTGAACAATCTCACGATAATAAATCACAGTGCATTTAGTGCCAACTACAGCCTTAAGACATGTGTTAAATGTGCTATCACGCCACTCCTAAAGCTGTCTGTCCCGAACTGTCCCTGTGCAGTCTCTGGTTATCTGAGCTCCAGCTCTAACGGAGAGAATCTTCAGGAGTGCTGCAGCGCACCAGTTTGCCATTTTAGCTGATTGTGTTTACAAAAGCAAAACTTACGGACCGTGTTTACTTTCATTTTCAATTAAGTTGCCGGCCGGCTCGGCATTAACTCCCTACGTCATCATGACACCTCCCTATGTTGTGCCAAGGCACAATTGCTGTTTTTAGGACAGACAATTACAGCAATATTACCACCAAGCAAGGCAGAACGAATGCCACAAAATTTGTGCAATGCCATGCCAGCATGGCGCATTTATAAGACACACCGTTGCGGTAATACGCCGATTTGCTGGCATGGTGTGTCTTGTAAAATGGGCTTTTAGCACAATATATATATATATATATATATATATATATATATATATATATATATATATATATATATATATAATTCTTGACCAAATGAATACAAAACAAAAGACCTGCAAGCGTCTCTCAGTTTAAGCTAAAGTCTGAGGTTGTGATTCCACGAAAACACAAGTCCTGATTGGATGATCCAAAGGCCAACACCTCTGATAACTAAAAAGAGACTAAAATGATCTTCATGATTCCAAAGACCAATGAAACAAAAGTTGAACATATGTAAATATTTGTGTCCCATTACATTCAGTGTAAAATTGAAACTGCTTTTTAAAGAAAGAACTTTGTACCAAAAGTCATACATGGTGGTGGTAGTGTGATGGTTTGGGAATGCTTTGCTGTATCTGGACCTGGGTGACTTGTTGTAAGTAATGGAGCCATGAATTCTGCTCTCAAACCCTAACCTGAAATTTTTGGAGGATTTTTGAGTGGCTGGGTCAAAGGTCAGACTTAAAGGCATTTCAGATGGTAATGTGACCCGAAGCAGGCTGGATTAAAACAATTCTTCAAAGAAGTGTTGAAAACAATAAGCTGTAGTGATGTGAGAGACTTCATCTAGACCACTGTTTCAGTAGCAAAAAGTTTCTGTTCTGCATGTTGGTCTAGCCACGCTCCATGGTAGCCTCAGTAGGTCTACCACTGGCCTAAACAGTTTTGTGTCTGTGTGGCATTGGTGGCGCAGGGTTTAAGAGTTTACCCAGTAATTGGTGGGTTGCATCCGAGGCTCCTGCAGTCATGCCAGTTGTTGTGTCCCTGGGCATGACATTCCACCCCCTTTCCTGCTGCTGTGGTGGAAGGAACTGGTTGCTCTTGCCCTTGGCAGCCTCACCTCTGGTGCCCCGGGGCAGCTGTGGCTACAACGTAGCACCTCACCACCAGTGTGTGAATGGATGAATGATTCACTGTGGTGTAAAGTGCTTTAGAATCCTCTGACTCAGAGAGGTACTATACAAGTGCAGATCATTTGAAAGAAAACAATCTTTTCTTTAGCGCCTCTCAAGATAAAAATCATGAGGCACTTGTCATGTGTCTGGCCAACCACAGTGCTCTGTTTGTTGAACGGGCTTGATGGGGCCTGGGATTGTGTCATCATCACCAACACGGCTTCCATGTTGGAAGCCGCCAACAGCATGAGAGGTCGTTCTTCAAGACTGTTGGAAAACTATTTCAGGTCTTGAAGCTCATCAAGAGAATGCCAATAGTGTGCAAAGCAGTAATCAGAACAAAGTGTGGCTGTTTTGTAGAAAATAGAATATAAAACATGCAGTGATTGCGCGCAGGAACTATTTGGTGGTTTAACCCCAATCCAACCTGTGATTGGCCCGCCAGAATGCTGCTAGGGCCTGTGGAAGTTCTAATGGAGCGTTCCTAGACCAAACTTTACAACAAGAGTTTGGTCTAGTTTACAAGGCTATGTCCTTGGCGGACTACCCCTTTGACTGATTTCCATTATACATCAAGTTTTTCATTCCTCTGATTGGTCCTAGTGCTGTCCAATTGCATGCAAAGACAGTTTGAAAGACAAATGCAGACTACGTAATAACTAGGTTATTTCGATAGCTTGTGGCCAGACTATATTTACATGTATAGGATGGTTTGCAAGGCTAGCCAAGCAGTACAGCCATTTATAAAATATAGTCAGCTGCTTTTTTACATCGAGCCAGGTTGGTTTGGATAGATTCGTTCCCTAGTAAGTGAAATCATCATCTGTCTTGTTATCTTTGTCTTATATTGACATTTGTTTACCGATCTGTAACATCTGTAAGAGGACAAATACTTTTTCACATCTTGTATGCATGTACACCACTTTTGTGACAACACCATCAATAAAAGTAGACTTTCTTTCTGCTTTTTTCATTGCAGTGAGTTTTGGATTAGCATAACATAGTCCTACATAACCATAAACAACAAATACTCAACAGAATTTGTTGTTTTTGTTGGCCACATGTGACAAAACCTCCCTTCACATGCCACCAGAGCTCTAACATGTTGCACCTCTGATCAAAACTAGCCATCACACTGCATTATGTTTGGTGTTTATGCTTCTTCTTCTACCTCTGCCCCATTTAAAAATGTGCAATTTGAACCCTACAGAAACCAGCACCTGCAGGAGATGTCAGAGTGACTCAGGTAGAGCTACCCTCCCTTCTGGGCTGCAGCATCCTTTTTTGGCTTGTGAACCCCCCCCCCCCCCCCCCCCCCCCCCCCCCCAACATTGTCCCGGGGAGGAGGGGATCTGCCCACTCCCGTCATCTTCACCTGTCCTCAGTCTAGCATCCTTTCATCAACCCCCCCACCCCCACCCCCTGTCTGTCCTCCAATCTGGCATTTTGCCAGACGTTGTGGATGGAATCCTGTCAAATCAATGCGATGTGAAAAGAGCACTGATTTTTCTGGTGCATATAAACAAAACCACTGTGGAAAATGAAACGTCAGCTCAAAATGGCACGTTTGAAGCGAGAGCTTCATATTTGGATGATTCTGATTTGTAAAAATACAGAGTTATAGTCGAGTGTGATTTCTGACAGAGTTCTCTCTCTCTCTGCAGGGCATGTTTGAGTTGTTCTGCCTCCGAGCTGTTCAGACTAAAGCCCATTTGACTCGCTCTTCTTTTAGAAGAAGTTGGCTTTACAGAGAGGGGGCAGAAAGGGGGATACCATTGACTGCTTAAATGGCTTCCATTACACTTCAGCAAAGCGCATGACTTTACATATTTATTTATTTTATTTCAAAGGATCTTTACATCCTCTTCATATTCTCCCTATGCATAATATTGTGTGCCCACACAGCACAGGCCTACCTGCCAGTGTTGTACAGACCTCTGCTTTGTAATATCTCTCATGAATTGCTTCTTTATCATCCCACACATTGTCTCAGAAGGCTTCTTTGTCTGGTGCTGCAGTGTTCACACTCAGAAATTGTAACTTTTCATGTGATAGCTTCTTTCTTTGTGCTGTAATGAGCAAAAACCATGTTACATGTCTGAATCAGCCTGCCATGAAAAGTGAGACCATCAGGCTTGACATGAGGATGTTCAATAATAACAGGAATGTGCATTTCACCTGAATTTTCACACATTATTATTACGTAGCCCTTTCTTTTTTTTGCAAACCAACTTCGTTGGCTTGATAACTGTACCTGCTAGTTAAAATGTGTGGGTTGTCATCAGCATCAAGGGAAGAGGAGAAAAACACTCCCATTTTATTTCCCTGAAACATTTTCATTTCAACAGTTCAACAGAAAAGCATATTGGTGACATGTCGCTGATGTCTTATCAGCACGGCGGCATGGAAATGCTGAGCCAGGACTTTAAGCTGCATTTATAGTTTATTGTTGTCCAAAAGGTAAAATACTCAGAAAAGCAACATCCCTCCCGAGTGCTCTGATAAGACTTTTTGGAGTAATTCAGAAACCTTCTGACTCCTTGTGTTAATATCATTAAAATAAAGCAGCAATTGGCTCCATAAATGCTTTGGTTTGTTTCCATTTTTTGAAAATTTTTGGGTTAAAAAGCATTTACCATTTTTTTGTAAAAGAAAAAAAAATAGGTGATAATGTTTTTGCCCGTCAGTGTGACTGTTTGTTAGCAAGATTTAAATAAAACTCAGAAAATAATCATGTTAACCTTTTAGACTGGCCTGCCAGACTCGTCCTCTGTCCATTCTACACAGAGGATGAGTCTGGATACAGAGGCAGGGAGCACCATGAGTGGAGGGACTAGCCAGCTCAAAATTAACCAATCAGAAAAAAGGTGTAAATGACTGTATCCCGCAAAGCTTAGCTTTTTTTAGCACAAACATCTTTCTTTAGAAGAAAGGCTTTTAGAGCTTTTTCTTGTTGTGGTTTTACAGACACGTCCAAGTCATTTAGAACAGAGGACAGAGAAACTGTTTATGAGAAACTGAGCATCGCGGTGTGTGACATACGCTGCTCACCTCTGATTTGCTCGGGCACAAATCGCAGGGGGTGGTGTTATTTGTAAGCGAGTGTTTCCAGGTCCTTTGCTTCCCATACGGAGGCATTGGCATAAACTTTTATAACTGATTCCCTTTTGGAGTGCACTAAGATAGCCACCACACTGAATCGACCAGAGCAAGAACTCATTTAGATGTTGAGCTGAAATTAGACTTTGAGGCTGAGTACTCAGTTGCAATACTGCAGAAGAGTCTACATACCATCATTTTAAAGGTTAAAGGGCAACAACTTCATCATTTCCTAATATAAGGTGGTAACTCTGATATCAACAATGCTTTTAAATTCACGATTGTTCCACTCTGCCTCTTGTGATAAAAATATAAGAATCAGGAAGGCTAATGATTGGTTTCATGAGATAAATTCAAACTAAAACGGGGTTATCTTAATGTGTTGTTCTTTCTTTAATGGGTTGTCTCATTCAGCGGCCGATGAACAGATTCACACTTTGTAGCAAGAAAAAAACCTGTTCTCTCTCTCTCCCCCCCTCTCTCTCCCTCTCTCTCTCTCTCTTCTCCCCCCCTCTCCCTCTCCCTCTCCCCCCCCCCCCCTCTCTCTCTCTCTCTCTCTCTCTCTGTGTGTGTGTGTGCGTGTGTGTGTGTGTGTGTGTAGCAGATCACCATCTTCACATTGCATTGAGTTAGGGAGTTTGGTGTTTATTAGCATAAGTGGATCCCTCTAAAGCAGTGATTTCTCAGATAAATTATTTCCTCCATAGCAGAACACCCAGATGCTTGCACACACTCAGCACCATCAGAGTTCATTGTAATTAGCATTTGTGTGTCCTTGTTTAAAAAAAAAAAGAACTTGTACAAACACTCCGTCATTAGTTAATGGGCCTGGCAGCCAGTTTCCAGGGCTTTACTTTCTCCCTCTCAGCTGCTCCCAGTGGAGCTGAGGTGAGAATGTGCCAGAGCTCCTGCTATCAGTCAGCCACACCACATTAAATACAGCTTGAGTGTGGAGGACCCATATGTCCCATATGTCATTACTGGGCATTACTCAATTAAAAGCACTTGCTTCTATGAAATAGAGCTGGCCGGGGAGAGATCCAGGAGAGCTTCCTGAGAATATCAGCTTATGTCCTGATGTCACTGCAGAGCAGGACAGAAGAACAGAGCAGTTGTCAAAAGGAGGTTGCTGTCTCGGAGAATCCACAGACAGCACCTAAATACAGTACGGCGGCTTTAGATGAGCTGCAGGGGCTTACGTGCTGCTGTAGCCTGTCTCTCAGAACAATATTTTTTGTCAGGCATTTAAAGGATTACCTTGATTTGATGTGGATCTTTAACATGCTTTGTTTTTGTTTATGGTTCTTATAGGTCATTAAGGCATTTAGACACCTCAGCTTTCAGTTTTTATGTTTGAAAGATGAGATTAATGCTCGCAAACTGTTTTGCTAGCAGATTAATTTTTAAAGACGGAGAAGCCTGCCTTTAAAAGACAGTCTGCGTGGTTCATATTTGACAAGACACCCAGTATGTAACAGACTCACAAGCACCTACAGGTAAAAAGTTTCACAGTTTAGTTGTTTTTATTGTTTTATCCCCTCAGAATTTTAATAAACTTAATGTAGTTATTTCTTATTTGTTGCTGCTTTATGATTAAATCAAACATGCAGAGTTAATAAAAACAGCAAGACTTGATAATTGTGTGTGACCGTAGATGAAAACGCAGTACTGAGGTTTTTAAAAAGGCCCGTGAGTGGTTGACCTCGGCTCGTTTCCATCAGCTTGCTGTTAGCACCTTTTATTATAAAGTATTTTATTTAACCATGAGGTTTTAGTGTAAATGAAATGGGAATAAATGAAAAGATGAAAGAGGTGTAATTAGGCAAAGACCATGACTTTTCGTCCCCGTGTTTTTTTTTTTTTTGTTGGCTGACAGTCTGAGCTTTTGGCTTCAGCGCCTCGTCTTCTCCACTAATGACAGGAACAAAGCTCCTAATGAAGCCGGCCTCAGGAAGATGACACTGGGCTGGTATTTAAACTAGTTTTTAGACAGTAAAAAATAATGACTGGCAGAAACTTGACCTGTTGTATGTTTTAGAGATTAAAGAGAGTAGTAGTGCAGTTGAAGATGTTGACAGAGGTTTTAACGCAGATTGTGAACAGGTTATTAAGCTTATTCCAAAGACACACTACTCAGGCTTTACTTTACACACTTATGATTGATTTCAGAAGGATTTGGTAAGTTGTTGCGACTCTGATGTGTCTACAAACCCTCTTGCTCTCTGTCCATGATCGCTCATCCTCACCACGACTCCATCACTTGAAGTTTTGGGTCTAAGTGGTGGGTTGCGTGTTGTGGAGACAATCCCTCTGTGTGGAGGTGGTGATTTAGTGGGGAGCTGAGCTCTGTAATGGCAGGGTGGAATAATTCCCATTTAACAAGGAGGCTTGGCTCCCTCTGCCCTCTAGGAGAGAACTCTTCCTCTTCTTCAATCTTCAGGCCTTTCCCTTTTCTCCTCCCATTCTTCTTCTGGACAAGTGTTCACTCCTGACGAGGGCTGTCATTCATGCTGAATAGTGTTTATGAAATCTTGTTGTGCTTTTTACACGAGGGACAAATGACTGTTTGGTGCTAGAATTCATCACAAGAGTCTCATGAATCGTTCAGGTATAAAAGGATCCTAAACACAAGGAATGAGCCAGCGTTGTGTCGACACATGAACAAATCCACAATAACAGGATTTTTAGACCCTTTGTAACCAGCAGTCTGTCACAAAGACATCATTTGATCTTATTTTTATTTATTTAATCTTAAAATACCAAAGCTAGCACAGCTTGACACATAAAATGGTGTGTTATTACCAACAACAGAATGATTTCAAAAGAGTTAATAGCAAGAAACTCGCTTGCAATGATTTAGGTACGTGCTAGGGAAAATACACACCATTACTTTAACCAATGTTGGTTCAAGTTTCTGTGACCTGATTTTTTGGGTCAAAGCAGAAAAGTGTAGGAACAACTTTTCACATGAAAGTCGGTCTTTGGAAGCAGTGTTTTAAAAAGGAGGGGTGGTTTAAAACTTTTGCACAATATAGGGAGCCTATGTCTCTTCCCCTTCCGATCGACTCACGGGTCCCCAGAACAAAGAGAAAATGGATGTAAGCGAACAAGGCTATGAAAGCTATTTTCTAATCTGCTTTGCCTGAATCCCACACATGTGCTTCAATTTAAATGAAATTCGTAGTTAAAAGGGACATTATGGAAGTTTGACAGCCAAAACATGTGTAGAAATAATAAATTTCTTCTTCATACATTCTCCTGCAATGCCCTGGTCCTGTAGAATGAGCCCTGGCATTTTTACTTGATTGCCTGTTTTTTTGTAAAATCACAGAAAAAGAGAGTTGCTCGGGTCGAGCAGGCTGCTTCATGCGCGTTCACCCTCAGGCATAGCCCTCCGAACCGTTCTTTGAACGTTATTTCAGCTATCATTAAGGATATAAATGTCACAGATACATAAGATGTCATTGGCGCTATAGCTTGCCTAGTAAGACGTCGGATTTTTGTGCAGAGGATCCGGGTTCGATTCTGGGTGCGAACATAGTTTATTTAGAGTTTCTTTTTTACATTAATGGTATATTTTTTTTACAGTAAGATGCCCACATTTTTATTTGAGACTCGCCAAACGGCATTGAATTCACAGATAAAAAAGATGTGGGTTCAACTTTCATTTTGGAACAATTTTTCAAGCAAGGGAAGGGCATGATCTGAGCATGCAGGAAGACTGACCCATCTTAAACCTTTGTCGGCTGTGCTGAAGAGAAAGGTACAGAACCAAATGATTTAATTAATTAGCTGCGCGTTCTCCTGTCCTCTGTCCTCTGTCTCCCCCCCCCACACACACACACACACACACAAGGGACTGTCTCAGCTGTTATTTTCGTTAAGGAGTGTGCACGTACAGCATGCGCGCTTCGTGCACGAGCCTACTATTGAAGCTGCCGTAACGCTTTTGGCCTGAGGGGGCAATCGCGAGCATAAAAATTCAAAACTCCATAAAGTCCCTTTAAAATGACAACAAATCAGACGTCACACATGTGACATCACCGCAGAATCTCCTCCCCCAGCGCAGCTGCTACTTACCACATGCCAGATTTATGAAGGTTTTCTCCACGTTTAATGCTCCTTCTTTTGTCCTGAAGAAAAATTCAAAGCTCGTTTTTCTTCTCCATGTCTGGTTCTATGACGTCAATATGGTGAGATGCATTTGTAGTCCTACAAGTCTTTTCACACAAAACCTAAAATAACTTTTAACACCGTTCAAAAATAAGCATTTTCATGGCATCAGAATGTATCTTTAAAATTCACAGACTCTGTTTGTGAAATCCATTGAACATATCAAACAGGATTAGAAAATAGCTTTAGCACCATTCACATGCGTTCATTTTTTGTTCGTTTCTGCTGACTCATGGTAGACGCGCTATGGTATGTCTTTCCTAAATGTAGGAAGACTGTTTCCTAAAATTTGTTGGATCTTGGACTACAGATCAAAAATGTATATATTTCCATTCAGACAACTTAGAACTTGATGACATTTATATTTTGTTTAATAGATATTTGACAAAATATCTGCGATCTGTAGGAAATGTGTCCAAATAGGCCACAAAGCACAGGTGTGTTAGATAAGACAACCTGATGAAAAACTTCTGATCTTCATGAAGGTGGCAGTTCAGTCTGATTACACCTTGGAGATAGAAGACGTGGCTGAGAGTGAAGTGGTGCTGCTGAGCAGAGGAAGTGAAGGACATGAAGATATCAATGTGTCTTACTTCCTACATCAATCTTATCTGAAACCCCAGTCGCTCTGTCTCTGTCAGACTTTCACGTTGCATTTCTGCCTCTTGGTGGCAGAAAAAACTGGGAGGTCCGCTGCTCTGCAGATTGATTTCACTCTGCAGGTACATTCAACTCTTTAGAAATACACACAAGCATCTAATCAGCTGCTTCTGTTGCATTAGGCTGCCATCTGGAGGTTTTGGAAACAAGCACACCATGTTAGCTCCAGTTTTTGAGGCAGACATGAAAAACCATGAAAATGCACCACAGTGGGGAATCAGTATTTGTGTCTTTGTGTTTCCCTGGCAGCTCTGCTGTCATCGTGGTGTGAGGAGCTGGGTCGTCTGCTCCTGCTGCGTCACCAGAAGAACAGGCAGAACGAACCGCAGGGAAAGGTCCCCATGCAGCCCAGCATGAACAGCATGAAGCCCGGCCTCACGCACAGGTCAGTCACATGTGTCTGGTCACACGCTTAATCTAAAACAATGAATTGAACTAACAACACTCACTTTTATTAGTACAGATTGAGGTTTTTATTTCAATATTATCTGAAACTTTTTGCTCGTGTCACAAACATGCCAGGAGCTAATTGGTAAAGGGTTTCCATTGTTTTGAGAAAGACTGGAACAACCGTGAGAGATGAGCTAAAGTGATTAGGGGTGGAGGGACAAGCCAGCAGAGATGTGAAGTCATGTTTTCAGAGAACATCTTGTGCTCGTGCCTTTTTTTATTTTCCTCTCAAAGAAACGTGTTGGAATCAACCAAAAGTTCTTGCTTGCCTTGGTCGAGGAGCTTGTGGGGAATGCTGTGCCTTTTATAAAGAAATATTGAACGTGTCATCATTCCAAGAGCTAACCGCTGAGTGAAAACATGCTGCTCTCCAAAAACAGCAGCTCCTTCCCCTCCACTGACCACTTGTTTCTGCTTACGAGGATTTCGCTTGTTTATCTTACATTCCAGACATTTGTATTTTGCGTCAAAGTGCTGAAAACACCAGTTGCAGTCTTCCTGTTCAAATCCAAAGACCTTTTATTGTGTGATAAGGAACTCCTTCTCATTAAGGAGTGTTTTTCTTTGAACATCTTAGGTGTGTCCTTGCTGTGTCGTATCTCTAATTCCATGCTGTAGTTCTTTTTTAAAACACAGAGCAGTTTTGTTTACCTGTTTTTGCAAACAAAACGTAGCGGGAAAACAGGTAAACAAAACTGCTCTGTGTTTTAAAAAAGAACTACAGCATGGAGTTAAGGAGTGTTTTTTGTCTTCAGGCTGATAATTTGTCATCTTTTGCACCTTTATGGGATCTAAAGCTTGGTTTATACTTGACGCATTTACTTTCCGCTTGGTGATGCGGCTCGCGGATGGAACACGCTTCACAACTTGCAGTGTTTATGGTTCATGCGGCTTGTCTTTGCGGTGAGCCAGTATTCACCCCAAACTGTAGGGGGCAGCATGGAGCTCCACGGCATGCATCCAACACTACACCTTAGTAGAAGTAAAAATTACTGTTGTTTACAACATGGCATTCCAGGATTTTTTTAACAGTGTCCTCGTCTTTTCCGACAGTGCAAGCTATTTCTCTCCAAGAATTATTAACAACATGTTGATCACGGTGATCTTTGAGAGCTGAATCATACAAATGTCTGTATTTACGAACCTCTGCCATACTAGTTCTTGCCAGTCCGCCATGTTTTTCCGTGTTCGACCGTCCGCGTGGTTAGAAAATTTCCTAGGTGCACGGTGCGGAAAGTTTGGTCCATGCGGAGGCCAGGTGGAGGGGCGTGGTTGTTAAAATGACGCAATTTTGCCGCGTGGAGCCATGCAAACCTCGTGGGCGTGTCAAGCATAAACCAACCTTAAGGCTCATGTGTGTGTTTTGGTCTACTTTGCAGTGACGGATCCTTTCCCTATGACTCAGTTCCCTGGCAACAAAACAACAACCAGCCCCCTGGATCACTCTCTGTAGTTACAACCGTGTGGGGTGTGACTAATACATCACAGAGTCAGGTACGACCATTCATTAAAAACACCCTCTTTACGTCTGCTTCATGCCATGGGTCTAATCTTCATGTTTCTGTTATGTTGGATTTGAAGGTGTTGTGTAACCCCATGGCCAACAGCAATAACCACATAAATCCTGGGGGTAACCAGATGGGGTCAGTGATGTCTGCTAGTGCAGCAGGGCTTAGCTCACCTCAGTTCAGCACTCAACAGCAGCAGTTTCCAAACAAAGGTGGTTCCAACCAATCGTACATGCAGCAGGGCATGTATGGCAGGCCTGGCTACCCCGGTGGCCCTGGAGGATACAGCGGAAGGTGAGAAAGGAATCAACTAAACTCCATTAAGGGTATTTGTCAGATGATATTAATGCTGTTTGCATAGGATACTACAGCCTTGTGTTAGCCTGGCAAGCCATTCTTTATATATAAATATATAGTCTGGCCACGATCCATACACAGAGCTCAGTCGGGGGGGGGAATCTACTGTTGTCTTTCAAACTGTCACCACTTGCTACTGGACATTGCTAGGAACAATCAGAGCAATGATCAATGGGCCTTATTCATACGGAAATCAGTAAACAGTGCAGTCAGAAGAAGAAGAAGCATCCATCCATCCACACACCCATTTTCAGCCTCTTATGTGGAGTCAGGTCACGGAGGCAGTAGCCTAAACTGAGAGGCCCAGACTTCCCTCTCCCCAGCCACTTGGGCCAGCTCCTTCAGGGTAACCCCAAGGCACTCCCTGGGCAGCCGAGAGACATAGTCTCTCCAGCGTGTCCTGGGTCTTCCCTTGGGTCTCTTCCCGGTTGGATGTGCCCGGAACAGGTCACTAGGGAGGCATCTAGGAGGAATCCTGACCAGATGCCTAAGCCACCTCAACTGGCTCCTCTTGACATGGAGGAGCAGCGTGCCTGCTCTGAGCCCATCCTGTATGACCAAGCTTCTCACCATACCTCTACGGGAGAGCCCAGCCACCCTGCTGAGAAAACTCTTTTTGGCCTCTTGTATCTGAAATCTCATTCTTTCGGTCACACCCTAAAGCTCGGAACCATAGGTGAGGGCATGAACGTTGATCAATCGGTAAATCAAGAGCTTTGTCTCCCCCCCGGGCCTTTGTTTTCTGGCCCAGCTCTCTGTTCAACACGACAGACCAGTGCAACACCTGCATCACTGCAGACACAGCACCAATCCGCCTATCAATCTTCTCTTGTGAATAAGACCCTGAGATACTTAAACTCCTCCACTTAACCCTGACCTGGAAAAGGCATTCTACCCTTTTCTGATTCAAGACCATGTTGTCAAATTTAGAGGAGCTGATTCTCATCCCAGCTGCTTCACACTCGGCTGCGAACCGCTCCAGCGAAAGATGGAGATCACAATCCGATGAAGCCAACAGGACCACATCATCTGCAAAAAGCAGAGACATGATCCTTAGGCCACCTAAACAGATCCTCTCAACACCTTGGCTGTGCCTAGAAATTCTGTCCATAAAATTTATGAACAGAATCTGTGACAAAGGGCAGCCTTGGCAGAGTCCAACTCTCGGCGGAAACGAGCCTGACTTACTGCTGGCAATGCGGATCAAGCTCTGACACCGGTCATACAGGGACCTAACAGCCCGTATCAAAGGGCCTGGTACCCCATACTTCTGGCGCACTCCCCACAGGGCCCCCAAGGGACACGGTCCAACGCCTTCTCCAAATCCACAAAACACATTTAGATTGATTGGGCGATCTCCCACGGACCCTCCAGGATCCCACTAAGGGTACAGAGCTGGCCCAGCATTCCACGGCCAGGACGAACCACTTTGTTCCTCCTGAGTCTGAGGTTTGATAATCCAATGGACCCTGTTCTTACTCCAAGCCACATTCCGCTTGGACTGCCGGTACTTATCAGCTGCCTCTGGAGTCCCACAGGCCAAAAAGACCCGATAAGATTCTTTCTTCAGCTTGATGGCATACCTAACCACTGGTGTCCACTAATGGATTGGGGGTTGTCACCACGACAGGCACCGACAATCCTGCGGCCGCAGCTCTGGTCAGCCGGCTCAACAATGGAAGCACGGAACATGGCCCTCTCTGACTCAATGCCCCCGCCTCCCTTGGGACATGTTTGAAATTCTGTAGGAGGTGGGAATTGAAGCTCCTTCTGACAGGAGACTCTGAAAGATGTTTCCAGCAGAACATCATCAAACGTTTTGGCCTGCCAGGTCTGACTAACTTCCTCCACCCCCATTAAAGCCAACTTACCACCAGGTAGTGGTCAGTTGACACCTCCTCCCACCTCTTCACTTGAGTGTCCAAGACATGTGGCCACAGATCTGATGAAATGACAACAAAGTCGATCATCGAGCCGCATCCTAAGGTATCCTGGTGCCAAGAGCACATATGGACACCTTTATGCTTGAACATGGTGTTTGTTATGGACAATCCATGACTAGCACAGAAGTCCAGTAACAAAAGACCGCTCAAATTCAGATCACTTCTCCGGGTCTCATTGTCATTGCCCACATTAGTGTTAAAGTCCCCCAGCAGAACGAGGGAGCCACCAGAAGAAGCGCTCTCTAGGACCCCCTCCAAGGACTCCAAAAAGGGTGGGTAGTCTGAACTGCAGTTTGGTGCATAAGCACAACAAGTATGCCCACCCCTGCTTGGCGCATTTCAGTGGGAGCAACTCCAGAGTGGTAGAAAGTCCAACCCCTCTCGAGGAAATGGGTTCCGGAGCCAGAGTCATGCGTTGAGATGAGTCCATCTATATCCAGCCGGAACCTCTCACACCAACTCTGGCTCTTTTCCCACCTGAGAGGTGACATTCCACGTACCAAGCGCTGGCTTTTGTTGCCGAGGATCAGATCTCAAAGGTCCCTGCTTTCGGCTACCACCCGACACACAATGCATCCAACCCCTTTGCCCTATCCCACGAGTGGTGAGCTCATGGAAATGGGAAAAGGCGCTCGCCAACATGCCACTAACTCCAGGCCTGGCTCCAGAGGGGGCTCCCGGTGATCCCCGTCTGGGCGAGAGAATGTTTTTCTTTATAATGGGTCTATAGGCTGCACTATGTCTGATCACTCAAGAAGAAGCAATACGTCTTATTTCTAAATAAATTACTCAAGTATCACTACCCTGCCTTAGCCCCCACAAAATATTTCTACAATCATAGAGTGCTGTGATTGGCTAGACACAAATTTGTTTGGTTCAATGGTAGAGCAAGTGAGGCTAGACCGACCTGCAGAGCAGAGTCATTTTACTACTTATACGGTTGGTCTAGATTTCTAGGTTAACCTTGTTTATGAATGATGACATAGATAATGGAGATGTGGATAAAGGAGAAAATTTCAGAGAAAAAACATTTCAAGTCACAGATTTTACATTAACATACCACTTCCAGGCACGTAGCTGTTGATATGCGTCATAGAGTGACGTGCAGCTTCGCATGTGTGTTCACACCTCATGGGATGGGTTTGCCTTCAGGGCTTTCTGCCACATGACAATCAGACTTTATAACATAGTTAACTCTGCAGATGGATCTATTTTAACCCAAACCACTTTTTACCCAAATCACATCCTTGTTCTGTTCTCATTTAAACCTTATTGAGATGAGAGTAGAAAATTAATGTAAAATTTAGCATTTACTTTTAGGTCCATACTCAGATTTTTGGGTGAAATTCATATTTGTGTCAATTATCTGCTGTCACCTTTTCCACCTCGGACTCTGTCTGGATTTAAATCCTGCCAACTTCCTAGTTTCTCTGTAATGCTACTTCTGTCAGAATACCCTGAAGGCAAACTTCTCTCATTTCCACATTGGACTTATATTTAAGGCACTGTGGAATGAATGGGCAGGTTGTAAATAGTAGAGGTGCTGAAAAAAATCGATTCAAGTCTGAATCAGGATTCTTATTTATCAAGATTCAGAATCGATTCACAAAGGTTCAGAATCGATCCCAAGAACTCAAATATTTGGCATGTTACAGGTTTGAGATGCACTTTTGTCTGTTTTTTTATCTTTGTTAGGAGAGTTCGTACTCCGTTTACTTTTGTGGTCCCATAAATTGAGATGATTTATTTTTGAATCTGCTGATAAGTGGGCACTTGAATGTCATTGTTTCCACACTCAGAAATTTTAGATATTCTCATATTTATTTTCTAAGTTGATAAGTGAGTACTCGGGATTACTCATGTGTTTATTTTAAGTTATTGATAAATGAGAGAGCACATTTTCCGTTGTAAGAAATCTGAGGCACTTTTTTTGAACAGGTTGAGGACTCAAATGTTAAACTTGTTTCCACACATACTTGTAAAGTATTTTACCGTATTACTTTCAAAGCTACTGTAAGGTAGCAAGAGATTTATTATATTTTACAAGGTAAGCAAAAATAAATGTTGCCTTTTGGTCAAAAGATTGCTTCTGTTAACAGTTTTAGAATCACTTTATTTTACCTTGTAAATTAGAAATAAAAATTTCACATAGCTTTAACTAACTTGTACAACACAGTAGTTAATCCTAGAACTGACACTCTTTGTTAATATTGATTTTGAATTGATTTAAATTGAGAATCAATTCTGAATTGAATTGGCACCCTGAGAATCGGAATCAAATCAAATCGTGAGTTGCTCTAAGATTCACATCCCTAGTAAATAGTCAAAACAGATGCCATGTGACTGTTTTAATCCAGAGGTCAAAACAGACACTCGATAATAACTGAAACTTACTTTCTCTTAATGTTAACAGTTACTCTGGAGGCCCAAACGCCCCACCTGGAGGTATGGGAATGACTACCCACGCACGTCCTTCTGGTGACTTTACTCCACCTGCTGCTGCTGCTGCAGCTGCAGCTGTTGCTGCCGCCGCTGCTACAGCTACAGCAACAGCGACGGCCACAGTGGCGGCCCTGCAGGAAACCCAGAATAAGGACATGAACCAGTATGGACAGGTAAAAACACACACCTGCGTATGGTTGTAGTCTCCTGATGTTTCCATGCTGATGGCCACATTTACCCCCAAATCTTTTTGTTTCATCAGATGTGTCCATCGTTTCAAATGGGGCCTTCTCCAGCCTACAACAGCCAGTTCATGAACCAACCCGGCCCACGAGGCCCCCCGGGGGCTATGAATCCATCCAGCATGAGTTCAGCTATGAACAACCCCACCATGAGTGGGCCTCCAATGGGAATGAACCAGGCTCGATCAGCAGGCATGACGCCTTTTGGAGCTCACGGCCAAAGGATGCCACAGCAAGGGTATCCTGGGGGACCTCGGCAGAGCATGCCCATGCCAGGGATGAAGAGGCCATATCCCGGAGAGGTCAGTGGAAAGCTCAAAAACCCCTCTGAATGTTAGGTATTTTGAAGCATTCAGCAAAAATTTTATTTTTCTTTGTACCTTTTCATTAAGGGGAGTTACGGAGGTCAGCAGTATGGGCCAAACAGCCAGTTCCAGACACAGCAGGGCCAATACCCAACATCAAATGCGTCCAGGCCACTGCCCTCCCCTAACTACCCTAGTCAGAGAATGCCAGTGCAGCAGGGCCAAGGACAGTACCCTCCCGGCATGCCTATGGGCCAGTACTATAAGGTCTGCTGTTCTACAACATAGTATTGTAACTGCACTATTTTATATATATATATATATATATATATATATATATACAGTTGGGCAAAAAAGTATTTAGTCAGCCACCGATTGTGCAAGTTCTCCCACTTAAAATGATGACACAGGTCAGTAATTTACATCATAGGTACACTTCAACTGTGAGAGACAGAATGTGAAAAAAAATCCATGAATTCACATGGCAGGATTTTTAAAGAATTTATTTGTAAATCAGGGTGGAAAATAAGTATTTGGTCACTTCAAACAAGGAAAATCTCTGGCTCTCACAGACCTGTAACGTCTTCTTTAAGAAGCTTTTCTGTCCTCCACTCGTTACCTGTATTAATGGCACCTGTTTGAACTCATTGTCTGTATAAAAGACACCTGTCCACAGCCTCAAACAGTCAAACTCCAAACTCCACTATGGCCAAGACCAAAGAGCTTTTGAAGGACACCAGGAAAAGAATTGTAGACCTGCACCAGACTGGGAAGAGTGAATCTACAATAGGCAAGCAGCTTGGTGTGAAAAAATCATCTGTGGGAGCAATTATCAGAAAATGGAAAACATACAAGACCACTGATAATGTCCCTCGATCTGGGGCTCCACGCAAGATCTCATCCCGTGGGGTCAAAATGATCATGAGAACGGTGAGCAAGAATCCCAGAACCACACGGGGGGACCTGGTGAATGACCTGCAGAGAGCTGGGACCACAGTAACAAAGGTCACCATCAGTAACACACTACAACGGCAGGGAATCAAATCCTGCAGTGCCAGACGTGTTCCGCTGCTGAAGCCAGTGCATGTCCAGGCCCGTCTGAAGTTTGCCAGAGAGCACATGGATGATACAGCAGAGGATTGGGAGAATGTCATGTGGTCAGATGAAACCAAAGTAGAACTTTTGGGTATAAACTCAACTCGTCGTGTTTGGAGGAAGAAGAATACTGAGTTGCATCCCAAGAACACCATACCTACTGTGAAGCATGGGGGTGGGAACATCATGCTTTGGGGCTATTTTTCTGCCTAGGGGACAGGACGACGGATCCGTGTTAAGGACAGAATGAATGGGGCCATGTATCGTGAGATTCTGGGCCAAAACCTCCTTCCATCAGTGAGAGCTTTGAAGATGAAACGTGGCTGGGTCTTCCAACACGACAATGATCCCAAACACACCGCCCGGGCAACAAAGGAGTAGCTCCGAAAGAAGCATTTGAAAGTCCTGGAGTGGCCTAGCCAGTCTCCAGACCTCAACCCCATAGAAAATCTGTGGAGGGAGTTGAAAGTCCGTGTTGCTCGGCGACAGCCCCAAAACATCACTGCTCTCAAGAAGATCTGCATGGAGGAATGGGCCAAAATACCAGCTACTGTGTGTGCAAACCTGGTAAAGACCTATAGTAATCGTTTGACCTCTGTTATTGCCAACAAAGGTTATGTTACTAAGTATTGAGTTGAATTTTTGTTATTGACCAAATACTTATTTTCCACCCTGATTTACAAATAATTTCTTTAAAAATCCTGCCATGTGAATTCATAGATTTTTTTTCACATTCTGTCTCTCACAGTAGAGGTGTACCTATGATAAAAATAACTGACCTCTGTCATCATTTTAAGTGGGAGACCTTGCACAATCGGTGGCTGACTAAATACTTTTTTGCCCCACTGAATATCTAAATATATATCTATATCTATCTATCTATCTATCTATCTATCTATCTATCTATCTATCTATCTATCTATCTATCTATCTATCTATCTATCTATCTATCATCTATCTAGTATATATATATATATATATATATATATATATATATATATATATATATATATATATATATATATGAATGTATGTATGTATGTATGTATAGATAGATATAGATAGATACAAGGAAGCATAAGAAAATGTATCAATAAATAATGTTTTTGATTCCCCCACAACAGCAAGAGCCCTTCAATAATCAGAGCACCAACTTTTCTGGAGGTGGATACTCCTACAGCCAGGGTAGCGGGGTAAGTTTTCACTTCCTGTCCACAGAAACATGGTTTAATTTCTACTATGACATACCAAAACTCACACAGCTAATCTGATCCAGTCAGGTTTGTCTATTAAGGTCCTGCAGATGGTTTTATTGTTGCACATTTATTGCTTTTTTAACAGCCCCCCAGGCCTGGTAACTACCCCCACTCGCCGGTCCCTGGAAACCCCACTCCTCCTATGACCCCTGGGAGTAATATTGCTCCATATCTGTCGCCAAACCAGGATGTGAAGCCCCCGTTTCCACCTGACATGAAACCAAATATGACAACACTTCCGCCCCCTCCAAGTGAGTCCACCAACCGTTTTTAAGAAAATGAATTCACAACATATTTGTCTTTTTAAACTTTAACTTACCTCCTTTAGATAACCCTAATGAGGAGCTACGTCTGACGTTCCCAGTCAGGGATGGGGTAGTACTGGAGCCATTCCGCCTGGAGCATAACTTGGCTGTTAGTAACCACGTCTTCCACCTGCGGCCGTCCGTCCACCAGACCCTCATGTGGAGGTAGGACTATCACAGTTGCTTAGTGCTGCAAAACACAAGCTTAACTTTTTTATCTCTAACCACTTGGCTATGCTCACAGGTCAGACCTTGAACTGCAGTTTAAGTGCTACCACCATGAAGACCGGCAGATGAACACAAATTGGCCCGCCTCGGTCCAGGTCAGTGTCAACGCCACCCCACTGACCATCGAGAGGGGCGACAACAAAACCTCCCACAAACCGCTGCACCTGAAGCATGTGTGCCAACCAGGGAGGAACACCATCCAAATCACAGTCACCGCCTGCTGCTGTGTGAGTACACGCTGCGGAAACAGAAGCCTCAGCTGGGCCGAGTTACACACGGTTGATTTAACTCTGTAAATTATTGTGCAGATTAGACTCGGGGGTGAAGCTGTCTGTGCTGACTTTGTTTGTTTGTTTGCTGTTGTGTTGCTTCGCAGTCCCACCTGTTTGTGCTTCAGCTGGTCCACAGGCCATCTGTGCGCTCTGTCCTCCAGGGACTTCTGAAGAAGAGGCTCCTTCCTGCAGAACACTGCATCACCAAGAGTAAGGCTCGTTTTGTCTCTTAAGCCTGATTCATGCTTCTCCGTCTGCGTCAGTGCGGAGACACGCAACGCCATTATCCGTCCTTGCGTAGGGCTCCGGCAGGCACGCAAGTACGTACGGAGTCGAGCCCACTTTTTTAAACCTCCGTCGAACGAGACGGATTACGCAAGCTTGTGATTGGTCAGGACGCCGCTGTTGTTTACAGCGCCGCCATTGCAAAGAGAGCCGAGGATAACTAACGGCAGACACGGAGAAGCTTGAAGAATACCTCGCGACAAAACTCTAAAAATATGAACGTTTCATCCTCCCGTGACTGGAGGAGTGAAAAGATGCGCAGCAAGCGTTTTATTTGTGGACGGAACTGACAGGAAACGTGGGTTTAGAGGTGGGGAGCGCATGAAGAGGTGGAAGAATGAGAGACAAATATGTCCGTGTTAAAAGTCTCTTATATACACAAAAAACACAATATTAACACATGATCTTGGACCGATACATGACAGGATACCACAGAACAGCGCCACGCCCTCTGTTGTCCTGCCGGGCAATTGCTTTGCAACACTCTCCAGGAGACGGAGAAGTAAGAGAGCAAAACGCTTCCATCAATCCGTGCGTGTCTGTCCCTTGCGGAGCTGACGGAGAAGCATAAACCAGGCTTTAGTGTCGCTAATACAGTAATGTATCTTTGTTGTGTGAGCTCACACTACTTTCTCTTCATGTCAGTGCCCTTATTCTCAAAGAACATCTGTGCACAAAATAAAACTCTGAAATACTCCCTGTGTTTAGTTAAGAGGAATTTCAGCAGCGTGGTGGCTTCAGCAGGCAACGCCGCTCTTAACGGAGAGGACGGAGTGGAGCAGACGGCCATTAAAGTGTCGCTGAAATGTCCCATTACCTTCCGGCGCATCCAGCTACCCGCACGGGGGCACGACTGCAAACACGTGCAGGTACGTTTTAGCATTAAATGGCAAGAAATGGAAAAAGTAACAACACCAAGCATGTTGTTCTAATGGAGGTTTGGGATGTCGCCCTCTTTAGTGCTTTGATCTGGAGTCCTACCTGCAGCTGAACTGTGAGCGGGGGACGTGGAGGTGTCCTGTGTGCAAGTAAGTAAAAAAACTGTTTTTAAGGATTAAAAGGTTGAGTTGGTATTAAGAAATGTCATGTGTTAAATGTTTCTCTTGTTTAGTAAAACAGCCTTACTGGAAGGTCTGGAAGTTGACCAGTTCATGTGGGGGATTCTCAACGCCATCCAAAAGTCAGTTTCCTTTTTTTCGCCTGCTGAATACATCATGCGGCTCATTTTCTTTCTGAATCAAGCACCTTCTTTTATCTCCTCCATCAGTTCTGAGTTTGAAGAGGTCACCATAGACCCAACATGTAGCTGGAGACCTGTTCCTATCAAGTCTGAGCTGCACATCAAAGAGGACCCCGACGGGCCTCTGGCCAAGCGCTTCAAGACCATGAGCCCGAGTCAGATGACCATGCCCAATGTGATGGACATGATTGCTCAGTTAGGGCCCGGTCCAGGACCAGGATCTGGACCAGGGCCAGGTCCAAGCCCATACCACCCTCACCCTGGTCAGCATCCCAGTGGCAACGGGGGAGATTACCCTGGAACAGGTAATGAAAGTGAAAGCTGGACGCTGAACTTCTTAAAATGATCAAAGATGTAACTTTGCCACACAATCTAGCAACATATAATAATCTGAATGTACCAAATAAAAATCAATAAGTGCTTTTGATTTTGTCTCTCAAGGCAACAGCTACCACACCCAAGGGAGCTTTGACTTCCCTAATGGGAATCATTCTGGAGGTAGTGGAGGTCCTCCTATGAATGATTTCATCCATGGGCCCCAGCTGTCCCACCCCCCCGATGGACCTGGTGGCCTCCTCTCCCAGGACAAACCCCTCAGCCACAGCATGACCGATGCAGTAAGTGGATTCAATTTGCCTCGGAAAACCATGAAACCAATAATTGTGCGACTTAAGTTTCCCTAAAACCCACACCTCTGCTGCTGCAGTAGATCTGTAGTGTAATGTTGTTACTGAGCTTGTAAAGACAACAGCAAAATGAGTGTGTCCACGTAAAGCCACAGATATTTTGTCTGAGCTAGGTGCAGCCTGAGCCTCTAGCCAGCATGTGAGCTCAGTCATGCCCACATGCTCTCATCACCGTAAAAGCTGCACATCTGCTAATCACAGCTTCCATTTAAAAAGGCCTGTTCCATATTATTCATGCTGGGACTCATTCCCCCTCCCCTCCTTGACAATCTGTCCTACCCTCCCTGTGTTTCTCACACGTTGCCTTTTTTCCTTTCTTTTCACTCTTCTCTTGCTTTCTGTTTGCGTCCTGCATCTGCAGATGTCCCATTCAGATCAGTCCCATAACTCCATGCAGCAGAGCTTGCATGCGTCTCCACACCCTGGCAGCCAAACAGGGCCGCAGTTGCATCACAGCGGCCAGCCATCGCAGCCGCCTCGCCAGCAGCAGCCCCAGCCTCAGCATCCTGGGCAGAGCAGTCACCCGCACAGCGATCTGAACTTTAACCCCTCCTCAGAAGGGCAGATGGGTCAGGGAGCCCAGGACATGCCCGAACCCTCGCTGGATGTAAGTGTATGCGCTTTGGGTGCCGTAAGCTACCAGTTACCAGCTACTTTTGTCTGCTGCAGCTGCTCTCGTCGCTTTGCTGTGTGCTCTGTTTGACCTTTGCTTCTGAGGAGCTGTGGTCAGTAAATGTGTCACCTCTCATTGCTTTCTCTGCCCCTCACCCACAGCTGCTTCCAGAGCTGGCCAATCCAGAAGAGTTACTCTCATACTTGGACCCTCCCGACCTCCCGGCCAACAGCAACGATGACCTTCTCTCTCTTTTTGAGAACAACTAGCCCCTTCCTGTTCCCCTTTTCTGCCCCGCATACCTTCTTCCACCTAAGGGAGTGGTCACATATTCGGCTGTCAGCAGCGTGCTGTCAAGCAGCTTCCTGTCCTCATACACACGCGAACACACTTGAACTGTTTTCTCAGTAGTTGACGTGTGTTATGGAGCACAGCTGTGTGGGAACTCCAGGGGAAGGAATCGGGACAGCCTCTCATCTCTGCACTCCTTTTTATATATGTGTTTTGTTTTGTGTAAAGATTCTACGCACCAGTTCCACCTGCCTCTTGCTCAAAATGCACCATTTGCAGTCATGTCGGTGGGCACTAAATACACTCATGTGTGTATAAACATATATGATATTTGTGACTTTTCCATGGGAATCTGTGCAGCTATAATCATACACACCAACACAGAGAAGACAGGAACCTTGTGTTAGTTTTTGTTTGTTTGATTATAAATATAATTTCCTTGTGATGAAAGATGAGTCCAGGGGAGTAATCATTGTCTTGTAAGAGTGTTTTTATCCTTTATAAAATTTGTTCTTCCAAATCTTTGGCACATACTGTGCCCTTTGACCTCCCCAGATTTCCCAACGTGTGTGTGTGTGTGTGTTTTGTTTGCTTTTGAGCATAAAGAGAAAAACAGGATGTAGAGAAACATAAGAGACAGATAAGACTGAGCTGGAGATGACTTGATGGACTGATCCTAGCCATCTTCTCGTGTTAAACTCTGCACCATTTTAATCACAAGTGCATGTGTGCCAACAGATCCTGTTGAGTTTCTCCAGCTGAAATGTGCTCAAACAACTATTTATTATTTAATGTCAATTCTATCGTTAGTAAAATGTGTCTTCTTTGTTTAAGTCTTTGTCTCCCGTTTAAGTTACAAGCCTCCTACAGACATAAAAGAAAAGAAAAAAGAATAATTAGTGTGATCAGACACAATCTCCTTTTGTTGTGTTGGTCTGTCTTTTTACGTTTTTAAAGAGATGAACGTATGACCTGTTTGTGATCCCAGATGTCTTTATATAGCCTTTTGTGAAAATTATGTGTGTACAGTCCTGTAGCTTTTACTGACAACTCCATGGTACTGTGTCTTCGTCGACCTCTGCACACACACACACACACACACACACACTTATGCGCGTGATCCCTGATAATCTTGGAATTATTTTGCAAATAAGATTTTTATTACTTTATTTATATATTTGTAACAATTGATTATCTTTAAATGATCTGTTTTTCCCTGTAAAAGAATATTATTATTGCTTAGAGGTCCAGAATTCACCTAAATGTTTTATTTTTATATCATTGGAAAGAGTGACCTCATCATCCTTATTTAAATTAGCATCTGATCGTGTTTTCCCTGCTTACATTTATATTTCCATCACATTTTCATATTTCAGACTGTCAGCCTGGTGTTTTTCGAATCGGTTTGATCAAATCTTCTACTCGTCGTCGAAGGAGTCTTCCCAATTTAATTTCATTTGGCTTTACCTGTCGTCGAGTCACGTTGCAGTTGAAGAGTCAGATGTTGTTTGTTTGTTTAAGACAATGCACTGCCGCATCGGGAGACTTTATTTCCCTACACAGTGTGTAAAATTCAATGTAACCTGTCACAGCATCACATCTTGTAACACAGTTTGTATTTTCCAGTTGCAGATGTTGGAAATTGAGTTGAGGATATTGTAAAATGAAATCTGGTTGCATTCACAAGCAGAGGATTTAGGGGTGGGGATGTGAGGGGATGTTTGTATATAATGTAAATGGCAAATAGAGACACGTTAACAGAAATGTATTCATTTTCTCCAGTGGGAGTGTGCATAGTGTATTTAGAATTTGTAAAGCTTGCCTCTTCCTGTCGGACGTTGAATTGGGAAAACTCGGTCTGTGTTTGATCGCCTCTGTGCAGACTTGTTTAACCACGCCTGTTCATTTATGTAAGATAGTTTATGAAACCCTCACACTGTGTGGGTTCAGCAAAACAGAAAATCATTTTGCTTTGCGTAATATTAAACCTCTGTGTATTTCACTATTACCTGTGTACTTTTTAAAGGTGCTACACAAATTATCATGACCTTTTGAGGTATAATTGGGACTTGGAGACACTTGGCCTTAGGTGGCTAACGAGGGTTGTCTCTGAATTTACAGTTTGTAAAATAAAATAAAATAAAAACTTTTTGTCAAATTTATAATTTTTATGAAATGTGGCTAATCTGCTATAAAGGTACAATCTGAAGCAATTGGCACAAGTGGCAATTGTCTGGTTTTTGTACATTCTGTGTACAATCATTTCATATTCTAAACTGGTCAGAAGAACATTGTGATTTTTAGTCTTGCAAATCTGTATGTAGTTAGATGATGTGACATCCTAATATTTATCTAATAAATATGTATTCAGATGAAACACAGGTGCATGGCGTCTGGGTCTTTTTTGAGCCGTTAAAGCTGGGATACTTCATTTTAAAGTAACTTAAAAAGGCTTAAATGTGACTATCTGACCCTGTTCTATGATTAAATCTTTCAGAATTTGTATTTGCCCCTAAGTCTCTCTCCTAGCCTCTAAGGCAAAGCGAATCTTAAGTGGGCCTGGAGCGTTGACCAATAGATCTGCAATGGTGTGTCCACAAGAGGGAGCTGTCAGTCAGCTAGAATGCGCCCTGTTACCAGCATGCACTAAAGTGGAGCAACCAAAACAAGCATCAAACCAATCCCTTTACTGTCTTTTTCAAAGAAAATTGAAACTGTTTAATAGTCTTTCTGCAAAACTCACTTTCCATGCATATGAATGGTATGAGGGGTAGTTATTAGCTCCTTCCAAAAGGAGACAGGGAGCTATAGCCAAATCTCCTCTTGTTGTCATGCTATGGACCACAGCTGTAACACATACCAAATGCTTACCAAGCACTATTTTATTTTGTCCAACAACTAAAAACTAGATGCAACTACAGATTATGTAGTATGAAGAACAGTTTAAAATATTGATGTTTAGTAGACTAACTGCATATTTTATGGTGAACAAATATAAAAAGCTTTTTAACATTTTAAAGCCTGTTTTAAAATAGTGGTGTAATTTATAATAGTTTGTTCAAATATACTGTAGGGCCGGGGTGGACTGGTCAAATGAAGGTTCTGGAGAATTGCAGAATGGCGGGTCTGCTCCAGGCTGGTGGCCAGAGCATCCTTTGGTGACAGTGATCATCTTTGGGTCCTTTTGAAAAAGTAAAGACACAAAAAAGTGTTTTAAATGTAAGAATTAATTGTAGATTGATTTTATTTTAATGTTCATATCCTGAAAACGAAGCCACTTTCTCAAATTTCACAAAGAACTGCCACAATTTTTTTCATCTGTAGCCTAAAGTTTATGGATAAAAGACAAACTTTAGGACCGCATCAAACGAGTAATCACTTTGAATATTTATTTACTAAATTATTTATTAATTTATTTATTCCTTCATTCGTCGTCTCCCCCCCTGTTCAAATCTACTTTACTCTGCTATTTGCCACTTCTTTACTGGAAAACATGTTCTGGTACTTTTCCAAGCAGGAAAACTTCTGAATGATATTTGTTGCACTTACTTCCTGTTTCACCGTGGCAAATCCTAAAGCGCAGACACTTTTCTTTAAAAATAAAAGCATGAAAAAAAACTTTTGATTTTGCTTGACATATAAAGACCTACAGTCAGAAATGGTTATAGAAAAAAGTACAAGTTTCTTTAAGATGTTCGTTTAAAACGTGCCCGATTAATTATAGCTGCAAATCTGACACACTCACTTTGGATATACCTTTGTTTTGAAATTAAGCTTCACTCAAAACTCTTTTCGCTATTCCGCATGATACATTAGTTCATGTAACAGTTTATTTATATGGGGTTCAAACTAAGTTTTAAATTACGAACTCCTGAAATGAAAGGCCCAAAATATGTATCTCCATGTTTGAAATCAAATAATTGCATTGCTTCAATTTAATTGTCGAAATCGTACGAAAACGTCCACGAGAAGCGATGAACTATGTAAAGGATCCATATTACACATATAACAAAAATCGTGTTGTAAAATTGGATATTTTAAGAACAGAAAGATACGTGTATACCGATGTTTGGTAAAAAGCGTATCGAGCTCTGTTGCAGGCGCAGTCCGCTCCGAAAACGGAAGTGTGACGTCAGTGTGTGTTATCGCCAGACGTCAACTTTGATCAGAGCTGCGGACATGTTCCAGGCTAAAGGTAAGTTGTTGTTGATTTTATAACTCAGGTTATTCACAATCGATCAGTGAACTCTGTTTGTTGTGTGTTTGTTTAGGTGAGGGGGTTATATATCCGCCATCAGTGTAGTTCTTGTTCATATTTAAACAAGTAATTGACTATTAATAACCTCCCTAATATCAGGGCAGCGTTTAATACTGAATACGTTATTCTTAGTGTTTCTTGCTCAAAATATAACTTTATAAAACATTTTATTTACAGTAATAAGGTCTCCAAACTATTGAGTACACAATGTGCTAACATACAAAATTCAAATATTCAACAAAAACAATTCACATCCAGCTGTTGCTTTAGTGTTTGTTTACATAGATGACACAAAGGTGTTTTATACAGCTGAGTTGACCTGTGTCTATGTGGATTAGGCGTGTGCGTGTGTGTGTGTGTGTGTGTGTGTGTGTGTGTGTGTGTGTGTGTGTGTGTGTGTGTGTGTGTGTGTGTGTGTGTGTGTGTGTGTGTGTGTGTGTGTGTATTTAGAAAATGTTTTATCATGCAGCAGGTTGAGACATTTGGCCTATAAACATACATTTTTTTCCAGGTATGATGAATTTGAAGGAGTACTTCCAACGGATCGGTTTCCATGGCCGTTATGATAAAGTGGATCTCCCAACCCTGACGTTGATCCACAAACTGCACGTCATGTCAATTCCTTTTGAAAACCTCAGCATTCACTGTGGTGAGAGGATCACCATGGATCTGGAGCTGATTTTCAATAAGATTGTGAGGAGTTGTCGGGGAGGCTGGTGCCTGGAGAACAACTTCCTGTTTGGGTGGGTGCTGAGAGAGATGGGCTTCAGTGCCATTACGTTGAGCTCTAGAGTTTTCAACAGTATGCTTGGTGACTTTGGTCCTCTTGATTCTCATCTCATTCACAAAATCATCATTGATGATAAGGCTTACATAGCTGATGTCAGCTTTGGGGTGTCGTCACAGATACGGGAGCCGCTGGAGCTCATTTCAGGAAATTATCAAATCCAAGCCGCAGGAGTGTTTTGTCTCATTGACAAGGGGAACATCTGGGTTCTGGAGAAGACAGGTAGAAAGCAAGAAGTTCTCAATGCAGAATTTGCCACATCCAGCCTCGTGAACAGGAAGGAGACTAAGCAGATCTACTGCTTCACCCTGGAGCCACGCGAGTCAGAATATTTTATCGATAAAAGCAACAGACTTCAGACAGATCCTGCCTCGCTCTTCACTAATAAGTCCATCTGCTCGCTGCAGACGCCATCAGGATTTAGGGCTCTGATTGGCTGGACCTTCAGCGAGGTCACATTCAAACCCCATAAAGGTGTCGATGTCTTATACATGAGAAACACAACTGATGATGAGATAGAGCAAGTTCTGAAGGAACTGTTTGGTATAAAGTTGCAGAGAAAACTGAAACCTGTTAGCAACAAAACATTCTACACACTCTAAAACACTCTTAAAACTACTTTAACACGTTATTAGTTATATTTATATTCCTGTGTAGCATAACTAAAACATTACCATGATGAACACATCTGTATTTATCGTCAATTTATCAAGGTCTTATTAACTGTGCTCATCATGGATCGTCCATAATGAACACCATGTTCAGGCATAAAGGTGTCCATGTGTCCTCTTGGCACCAGGATACCTTAGGCCGCAGCTCAATAATGATCATCTTTGTTGTCATCCCACCTGATCTACTGCCGCATATATTGTACACTCGGTTGAAGAGAGGAGCGGAGCTGTAAACTGGCCACTATCTGGTGGTGAGTTTGCTTCGATTGTGGGGGAGGATGCCAGTCAGACCTGGCAGGCCCAAACATATTGTGAAGGTCTGCTGGGAATGTCTAGCGAAGTCTCCTGTCAGAAGGAACTTCAATTCCCACCTCCAACAGAATGTCCAAAATGTTCCGGGGGAGGCAGGGGATTTTGAGTCCTAGTAGGCCATGTTCCATGCCTACATTGTAAAAGCAGGTGACCGGAACTGCGGCAGCAGGGTTGTTGGTGCCTGTAGTTGCGGCAACGACTCAAGCCCATTGGTAGACTCCGGCTGTTAGGTATGTCAAGCTGAAGAAAAAGTCCTATTGCATCTTTTTGGCCTGTGGGACCCCAGAGGCAGCTGATAGTTACCTGCAGTCCAAGTGGAGTGCGGCCCGGGTGGTTGCAGAGGCAAAAACCTGGACGTGGGAGGAGTTCAGTGAGACCATGGAGCAAGATTTTGTATGACTTCAAGGAGATTCTGGTCCACCATCAGCCTCAGGAGGGGAAAGCAGTGAGCTACCAACACTGTTGTAGTGGTGACGGTGTGCTGCTGACCTCGACTCAGGACGTTGTGGGTCAGTAAACAGAGTACTTTGAAGACCTCCTAAATCCCACCGGCAGATCTGCCCAGAGTTCGTAAAGGCTGGATGTTGTAGGACTGTGTTGGCTGAATAGGAATTCTGCTATATTGTGTGGACATTGGGGGCAGTTCCACTGAACTGGCAGATTGGGTTGGGGGTAGAGTGTGTTCCAACTACAGGGGAATCATACTCCTGAGCCTCCCTAGTAAAGTCTATTTAGTGGTTCTGGAAAGAAGGGCCCGTTGGATTGTCGAACCTTGGATTCAGGAGGAGCAATATGGTCTTCGTCCTGGCCGTGGAACACTGGACCAGCTCTATACCCTTAGGAGGGTCCTGGAAGGTGCGTGGGAGTTTGCCCAACCAATCTACATGTTTTGTGGATTTGGAAAAAGGTTTTCAACCGCAACCCTTGGGGGGCCCTTTGGGGGCTTACCAGGCCCTCTAATACGGCTGTTAGGTCCCTGTACAACCGGTGTCAAAGCTTGGCTAACAGTGAGAGTTGGACTCCACCAAGGCTGCCGTTTGTCATCGATTCTGTTCATAACTTTTATGGACAGGATTTTTAGGCACAGCCACGGTGTTGAGGGAATCCATTTTGGTGGCCTGAGGATCAAGTCCCTGCATTTTGCAGATGATGTGGTTGGCTTCATCAAAATTTCTCCGGCTTTCACAGCAGCAGTTTTCAGCTGACTGGGAAGCAGCTGGGATGAGAATCAGCTCCTCTAAATCTGATAAAGGGTAGAATGCCTTCTCCAAGTCAGGAATGAGGTCCTGCCTCAAGTGGAGGAGTTTAAGTATCTCAGGCTCTTGTTCAATAGTGAGAAAAAGATGGAGCATGAAATCGATAAGAAGATAGGTGCTGCATCTGCAGTGATGCGGGCGTTGTACCGATCTGTTGTGGTGGAGAGAGCTGACCCGGAAGGCAAAGCTCTTGATTTACTGGTCGATTTACATTCCTACCCTCACCTATGGTCACAAGCTTTTGGTACAGACCAAAAGAATGAGACTGCAGATACAAGCGGCCGAAATGAGTATTCTGCGCAGGGTTTCTGGGCTCTCCTTTAGAGATAGGGTGGGAAGCTCAGTCATCCAGGATGGGCTCGGAGTAGACCCACTGCTCCTCGAGAGGAGCCAGTTGAGGTGGCTCGGGCATCTGATTAGGATGCCTCCTGGACACCTCCCGGGTGAGGTTTTCCGGGCACGTCCAACCAAGAGGAGACCTAAAGGAAGACCCGGGCACTCTGGAGAGACTATGTTTCTCTGCTGGCCAGGGCATGACTTTGGATTACCCCAGAAGAGCTGACCAAAGTGGCTGGGGAGAGAGAAGTCTGGGCCTCTGGACTTAGGCTGCTGCCCCCGCGACCCGACTCCGGATAAGTGGACAAAAATGAATGGAGGGATTAAAGTCTTACTAGTATTTTGTTTATTTACTCTTAAAAAAGTGTCAACATTAAATCTGTTAATTGTGCATTATGAAGTAAAAAAAAAAAATAATAAGCCTGTTCAGTAATTACCGTAGTATAAAGTATCCTTTATTCATTTTTTTTGTGTGACATAAATAGTATTTAGGGTCCAGGTCTCACTCCACTCCAGTTGGTGGCAGTAATGCTCCAAGAAGAACAAGAAGAAAGAAAAGTTCTAGTCTTTGTTTTTAATCATAGATGCTTATTTACACATCTATATTTTTAATCCTCTTGGGAATCATAATATTAAGGTGATGAAATGAGGAGGCATTTTAAAAGTGACAATTGTTACTTAGTAGAAACATCTACTGAATTATTTCAAAATAAAATGCTTATGACATTTTGATATAAGCAACAGGGAAACTTGCTCTAACAGTATTTTACTCCTTTTATTTAGCTAAAAACAATTAAAAACCCTTTTAAGGAAAAAAACTGTGATATTAAGGCAGTTTCGAAAAAATCACCCAACAGTGGCAAAATTGATGCTATAATCCCAGTTTGCTGTGTAAAAAACACAATGTTATTTAATTATGAGCAAAACATATCAAAGAAATAATAAATGTGGGGGAAAAACATTTATTTTCATGTACCTGAATTTTACTTTTTTTAATTATCATTGTCTAAGTGTGTTATTGGTCTTTGATCTAATAACTAATTAATTTATGTTTGATTAGAAATTATAGGCTGGTAAAATTTTGTAACTAAGTAAATATATTTATTAACTATTATTAATTTATGAATTAAATCTCTCATCTACTGTGTATGTAGTTCATCCCGTGGCCACTAGATCTGATATGTTTATAAGGCTGCAGCTTTAGCTGCTAATATATTCCTTATGAGCTTTCTCATTGGAATTCCTTTCTTTTGTTACTGATATTATTTAGAAAAGAGTATGGGCCGTTCCGAACAAGTATTTTGGAACAAAAAAGGTCAAAGAAATGTAATTCAAAATACTTCATAAATCTTATCCTGCAAATAATTATACGTTTAAGAGTGATATTGATGTGAACTGCTGTTTTTGTGGAAGCCACCCTGAAACTGTTCAGCACCTCTTTTAGATGTGTTCACATGCTACAATGTTTTGTACAAACTTTAGCAGCTTTATTATTGGAGCACTTCATTTTTAAATGGGAAGATGTAATATTTTTTCGCAAGAACAGAAAGGAAGATATACGTAATTCATGTGTTTCTTATTGCTTCTTGTATTGTTCAGCACTTGGACATCCGATAAGGTTCTGGAAGGGGCTTCATAAATAAAGTGAAATGAAATGAAGAAGAGTATATAAAAATATGAAAAAGTTGCTAAGTATCCCTTTTAAATTATTCTTTTTTTTTTACCATCCATCCATCCATCCATTTTTCCCCCAGCCACTTGGGCCAGCTCTTCTGGGGGGATCCCAAAGGGTTCAGCAGCAAAACAACAAACTGCATGCATGCAGTTTCTCAGTGACTTTAAAACATCACCACCACCATAAAACTTTTTCTGATGCTCCAAATACAGAAAAACATCCCTTACCAGGGTTTTTTGAATAAATAAAAATTCAGAAAATAAGTTTAAATGTTAAATAATAGTTAACATCACTTAAATGCAACAGCAAATTCTCTCATTGCTACTGAACATTTTCTCCACTTATGTGGTTATGATATAAGGCTGTTGCTGTAATTGGGAAGTGAACTGTGCTGGGCCTAACTAGGAGAATATTAAGATTTTCTGAGGGAAAGAGAAAAACAATTGTCTACCTTTCAGAAGATTAACTGGCAAAAAAAACTACATGGAAAATATGTGAAAATGTTTGGTTTTAACCCCAAATTGAACACGTTTACCTAGATCTTAAAAAGCAGCTCAGATGATGAAACTGCAACTATGATTCTGATGACAAGCTAACAAATTGAACTAGCTCCTCTTAAGATAACTGGCTATCAGAGCTTCTGACTGACATTTTATGTGCAGCAGCAAATCAACTATCCTGATAACAAGGTTATAAAAGCTCATGAATGAAAAATCACTTTGATGTGTGGGGGAACTTTTCCAGGCCCTCTTTAGCAGGGTGGGACTGGGAGGAGAGTGCTGTAGCCTTTTAGCTGGAAGCTAATCAGAGCCTGGGGCTAACATCACCACCCGTGGAACACTAGCGACATGGAGGTAGGTGGGTTGGTTCACCGGCACGTGTCGGAGTCAGCCCGGTTATTATCAGCTGCTTAACGACACCGAGCGGACTCACGTTCACGTTTGAAAGCAGAGCTGATTCCAGAAAACTCAGCACAAAGTGCGTTCGTTGCTCTGAGCCAGCATGACGAACAAGAGAAGCGAGTGGCAGCGGAAAGCGGGGGCGGAGCAGAGATAGTGGAATTTTCAACTACCCCTGACTGCATCCCGGAGATCGGGGCGGGGCTAAATGTGGGCGGGGTCAAACGTTTAGAGGTGGGCGGAGACAACTATTTGACTCCTGCGTGTCGCTACCCGATCCGTACCGGAAACCCGATCGGTACCACGCATGCGCGAATGTTACGTCACTTCCTCTCTTTGCCAACTTTGCGACAGTTACCGACTGCGGGACGTTTAAACAATGAATCCCTCCGAAACCAACGAAATTCATGATTTTCTCCTCAACGGAGATCTTCCGACGATTGAACAAAAGCGCCGTAAAATAAGAAGAGTGGCGCCTAATTACAGACTTAAAGGTAAGTACGAAAATTAAAGATGATCTTTTATCATGGTCTACAGCTGCCCTTGCTGCTTGAGGGTACAGACTCCGTTATTGTTCTAAAGTTGCATGACGCCTGCGTTGATTCAGGAGGGTGTAACGAGTAATATCAGTGTACAGTGTATACGTGTAGCATCGTCTGTAATATCGAAACTCTATATATAGGTCTACATCTTGGTGTGTGGTCTTATTTTAGATTTTTTTAAAAATCGTAAATACATTATATATATAGCCTATACATTTTTTTTAAAGATAATTGCAATTGGAGGTAAATGTACCATATTGGTGCTGATCTCAAACTTTAATATCTGTCAGACATTTCAATTTACTTTAGTCAGCAACTCTCATCTTTTTTTTTTTTTTTCATTTTTATCTTGTTCCAGACAACAGACTCTTCTACACTGGCCCCAGTATGCAGAGCATGCGCCTGCTAGTCATGTCAGAGGAGGAGAAGAAGCCTGTTTTGATGGAGTGCCACAATAACCCTGGTACCGGGAACCACAATGGTGTCAGAGGTACCCGAAACATGGTTGTTGCTGGCTATTACTGGCCAACATTGAACCAGGACATCAGTGAATGGGTAATGGCCTTATTTGAGTGAAGAAGCTAAATCAGGTCGTCATAATTTTTTCTAAAACATCTGTAGGCTGAATAATTGAATGTGTTTACTTGCACACATACATTTCAACATTAGTTTCTGTCTTTTTATTTTATTATCAATTTACATCAACTGCTTTAGGGTTTCCTAGACATATTGTTTGGAATACGCCTTTCAGGTCAGATGTTGTCATCGCTGCCAGATGAATGACCCAATCAAGAACGTGGCACCAACATTACATCCCATCAAGGTACATCTTAAAGCTATTTACATTTAATTTTCAAGTTAATAAGCTTGTCTGCTGCAGGTTAGCTTTAAATTTTCACTTGATAAGTTCTGTGACCTGCAGGTAAGAGAACCTTGGGAGTTGCTGGGCATGGATTTAATTGGACCACTCCCAGAAACACGTCTAGGGAACCGATATGTCCTGACTATGACCGTTCTGGGTGATTGCAGAACCTCTTAAGTCCAAGACTGCTGCTGAGGTCTCTGCAGTCATGACGTCTAAGTTATACATGTTTGGCATGGTGAGGAAGATCATCACTGACCAAGGAAAGGAGTTTGTGAACCAGGTAAAATTTGTGAAAGTGTTAGTCGTACCTTGACATTTGAGATGATGTATTTAGACCAAGTCTGCTCATGCCACTGCAGCTCAACGACAGCATTTTCAGCATGCTGAATATTAAACATGCTGTCTCCAGTGCTTACCACCCCCAGACCAACGGGCAGGTTAGCATTTGGATATCTAACCTTGAGTAACTCATGGGAAATCAGTCATGCTTCTTTATCTATTCTGCAACACAACTCAAAGGATGAGAGGACCAACCAGAACATTAAGCATGCTCTCAGAAAGTACGTGAACCAGAACCATGACGACTGGGACGTTCACCTTGCTGCTGTGGTGTACGGCATCAACACTGCAAAGCAGGTATTCCTATTTTGACATTTTGTATGACTTTTACGCTGCTTCACAGTGTAGCATCGTCTTAAGAATGTTTTTAATTTTGTTTATAAAAAAAAGAAGTTATTGACAAGTGCAAGAGAAAATGAATTAATGGAGAGATTTTGTGTGATCAGCACTCCACCCGCCACAGTGCCTATTTCCTGCTCTTCTACCGACATCCACGTCTTCCTGCTGTGATGAACACCTGTCCCATGGACGATGACTTTGAGGTTGCAGACCCAGAAGTGGACATCGACACAAGAGTTGAGGAGATGACGGTTCTGAATGAAACAGTCTGTACATTTGAAGAGGGCTGACTGACAGGGAAAGGAGACTTGTTGAGGAAAAAAGGGGAAATGTGGTTAGTGTTTTCAACATTTTTACTGCTTTAGTAGCTAACTTTTCTGTATTTCTATATTTCCAGAATGAGCATTGCCATGGCGACCTGGTGAATAATAAATATGTATATTTCTCTCTCTGCTTTTCATGTAATGTTTTTGTAGGTTCTTCGCAATATTGAGAGGGCACAGGACACCCAGAGGAAGACCTTTGGAACACGGAAAAGGAAGCTAGTAAGGCAGTGTGTTGTTCAAGCAGGCGATGACGTGCTTCTGTCAGGAGAAAACAGGAAGAGACCTTGAGGTATGTTTTCAGTGCAAAAGTTTGAAAGCTCATCAGGTGCATCATAATGCAATTAACAACTAGCAGGTGCATGTCAGCTCTCCTCATTTAATGAAACATGTTTCTTTTTACAGTTCTTTCCCCAGCAGTTCATGGGAAATTGCTGCGGCATCTTTATGCTGATGGTGAGAATTTTCTTGCCATTACTTGAATATAACATTTTAACATGTTAAAGATTGATTTTACTTTACAGTATGCTCTCTGCATCTGCACCTCATCTCCACCATCTTTCACAGAGGTAAGCTTTTTCAGACAGTACCACCAAAGTATCTGTGCCAGTCTCCAGTCTTCATAAACCTTACATTATATTTGTCTTCAGGAGGAAATGCCAGCAGTTCGCCTGTGGTGGTGTATTCAGCTGCTGGAGAGATTCGGCATTGAGGGGTATGGCAGGCACTTTAGACAAACTGGCACCATCATATTTGCAGCTTTGGTTCAGGCAAGACATCAAGTCAAACAGATGTTTGTGAAAGTGGCTTACTGTAAACCCTGTGACCGAACATACTGAAGAAAGCAACAGTCCACAACTAGAGTCCATTCAGACTGGCGTTGTTTTCTAAAGGCATGGACAAAGATTTGCCTTCTGGACAGAAGAAGCATCCCTTCTCCTCCAGGGGACTCTCCAGCCTGTCTTCAGGGTACCAAAGGCAACCTCCTCCAAGCCTTCACCAAGTCTAATCAGACTGGTGAGAGAGGACAACAATCAGATAACTATTTGTAGGACAGAACCACACAATGTTGAGACTATTCATCACAATGCAGGTTTACATACATGGTGGTAGTCTTCATTTCAGTCTAATGTGATAATCATGTTTTCTGTTAAAGGCTGAGGCTGACAGGTGTCTTATACTGGAGGTAATCTATTGATGTTCCTGTTTCTTTCATTTGTTGATATAACTGAATTAGTAGTTATAGTCACAGGCAGCTCCTTCAGAGACATTATCCAGTAGTAGAATGAAGTAATAGTTATGAAACACTACTCAATGTAATGTGTTTTCAGTCCTCATATTTCTGAAACTTTATGGACAAATTTTGTATTTTCACTATTGTCACGTGGCATAAATTTTGCAGTTACCAGAACGTGTCCTAATGGACATATTGGAGAGTTATGTGAGAGTTTTTGATCATTCTTCTTGGAGTACTATAGCAAAAACTGTAATGCTCTTGTGGCAAGGTGGATAAACGAGGGCCCGGGCGGGATTCGATCCCCAGACTCCCGGGTGAGAGTCATACACTCTAACCAGTCAGCCAAAGGGACTGATCAAGGATGATCAATCGGGACATTGTGACAGGACACTCACACTGTCACACTCTGTTTGAGAAAGTGAATCTGTTGGGCTTGTACCTGGTACTCAGAGTACCACACTGCCAGAAAGGGCACGCTGAAAATAAAAAGCTTTTTATTTCCATCAATATGTATCTCCTTATTCAAA